AGGAGAGGAGAGGAGAGGAGAGGAGAGGAGAGGAGAGAATAAAAAGTTGAAAGGCCAAGGCATGAACATGAACATCTGGGTCTTTACCAGAGAGGAGGAACCAATACATTACCAAAACCAGTGGCTACAGTCCCACTCATACTGGTTCTCAGGAGCATTCACCTTCAAGAAGCAAAGTACAAGCCACAAACAATTTGATTTTCTTGGTTATTTTGGGAGGAACTTTGCAAGAATCCTCTAAATCATTCAGTTCAGTTTTAGAGTTAGAAATAAACTCCACTCAATTTGGAAGATGAAAAGTTCTGTACTGGATGGTGATGATTGGATGCAGGGATGGGAATGTACTAATGCCACTGAACTGTACCTTTAAAAATGGCTAAAATGGTAAAGCTTGTCATGTATATTTTACCACAAAAAAAAACATAAACACAAGAATATAAGGATGTTCTTTAATAAATGCCTTTTGTGTTTTAGAATTTTATGGGGATGAGAAGAAATGAGCCATGGGGGGAGGAGGGCGGAGCCCAGGGCCTTGTCCCAGCGCCCCCCGGAAGGGGGTACCTCTGCTCTCTCAGCTCCCTGCCCCTCAGAGGCCTCTTCTCGCTCGGTGGGCAGCGGGTCCTTGCTGATTGATGTGCACTCTCTGGACTGTGTGCATGGAAGCAACGCCCTTTCTTTCTTGGGCCTATTTGCTGCGCTCTATGCCAGGGCGCAAGAGTTTCCCAACCCTCATCCTGCCTAACTCCCTGCAAGAGTCTGCACTGCGACATCTCGGGCTCACCCTGCCTAGCAGGGACCCAGCAGGGACTGCCAGTGACCAGCCCCGGCAGTGGCCCTGAGCTGTCCTGCCGTCATTGCTGCTCCTGCACCAAACTGGAAAGGCCTAGGCCCTTCCTGGGTGGAGACAACCGAACCTACTGCGCCACCCCCGCCGCATACCAGCTATACCGATAACAGGGCGTCACATCTTATGCTGGGGGTGGAAGGGGAGCAACTGGCCCGACCGTGACCCGCTGGAGTCCAGATCCCGCTCAACTGGGTGACCTGGAGACACTCCCGGGAGAGAAACCGTAGGGACGCAGGGCCGAGGGTCGATCCGCACGGAGTACACAGAGCCGCCGTCGGAGCGAAGGAGAGAACCACACGCGAGAAAAAACCATTGACCACAAATGGAAGTGAGCTCTAGCGGGCAGGGCCGAGACGCAAACTCCGCCCACAACCCGCAGGGCCGGCCGGGGGCGGGGCCGGGCCGGGGGCGGGGTGGGGCCGTGCGTGCGGCCGCTCCACCCCGACTGACAGCGCGGCGTCATGGCCGCGGACTCCCGCGCCAAGGCCGCCACTCTGGCCCTGAGACAGCGGCTGCTCAGGTACCCGGCGGGCAGACACGTACACCGCTCGCGCGTCCTCCGGGAGCCGCTGACTTCCCAGCCTCAGCCGAGGGGCCAGCCCTGGCCAGCCGGGAGGACCTCGCCTGCCGAGGACCCGGGCCTGGCTTGAGAGCGAGCCGGGGTGGAGCAGAGTTTTGGCCCTGGGCGGGGTTCGTGTCCCCGCAGAGTGAGAGGGAGTCTGCCCTTGACCTGCAGGGGGGGGGGGGGACCTCCTGCCACGTGAAGAGGGGGAGAGGCTGGCGCTTAGAGCTCGAGCTAGCCCCAGGGGCAGCGGGGCCACTGGGACGCCCAGGGATGCTCAGGCTGAGGGTACCCGTTCTCAGCAGCCATGCCAAAGCCCCTGTCACCGGGACCCCAGGGCCTGATGTGGGAGCGTGCAGAAATGATCAGGGCTGAACACGACTTCGACAACTTTGCCTCTACAACTTCCTGCCCCATCTTGTTCTTTGGAATGGGGAGGCTGACGTCAGGGAAGCCACCCTCTGCTGGGCTGCAAGCTTTTGTCCTTTGCCAGAAACTAGGAAGGCGTGAAGGAGGCCTGTGAGGAGTGGAGTCCCCACTCCAGGTCTTCAGACATGGCTGTCCATTCCCCGCCTGTCCCCACAGCTCTTCCTGTCGACTGTTTTTTCCTGAGGATCCTGTTAAGATTGTTCGAGGCCGAGGGCAATACCTCTACGATGAACGAGGGGTAGAATACATAGACTGCATCAACAATGTGGCTCACGGTCAGTATCTGACCTCCTGTCGGTGCAGGAGTGGAGGCTGAGGCTGTGACTCTGGTTCCAAGGTGACCCTGGGGTTGAGAGGTTGGGTTGAGAGTTTGGTTGTGGGTTGGCCACATTGATGTGCAGTGAAGGCCCCAATCTTTGTTTCTGTTTTACTTAATGTATGTGAGTTTTGCTTGCATGTATGTAAGTGCACGCGATTGTGCAATGCTCAGGGAGACCAGAAGAGGAAGTCAGATCCCCCTGGAACCGGATTGGTTGTTAGCCGCCATGTGGGTGCTGGGAACAGAACCCCTGTCCTCTGCAAGAGCAGCCAGTGCTCTTAACCTCTTAGCTCTTCAGCCCTGAGGCCTAAGTCTTTGTAAAGTAGCCAAAGAAGGCACCACACCACAGCTGTGCTAAACCAGGCACCAATCAAAGGTCCAGGTGTGAGGGTCCAAATTCCCCTTGGAACTCGTGGCAAACTCTATTTGCAGCAGATTGCTGAGCCATGACCCACCTGTGCAGCATGGCCTTTGTCCAGGGCAGGGTCATGACTGCAGACTCTCAGCATTGACTGTTGCTGATGCCTCAGGAAACAAGTTCAGCTAGCTGGGGCTGCCAGAGCTGATGGAGGAAAGGGGCCAGACTTAGCAGGCATACTGGAGGCAAATAAAGGTTAAAAGTCAGGGCTTCCACTCCAGGCTCTGCCCTCACATCCCTGTCATCCACTCACTGTGCCTTGAAGCAACTGAGGTGATAGCCACCAAGTGTTCTGAATAATTGTAACTGCTGGAACTTGTGTGTGGTTGTTTACTCTTAGCATCACTCACTCACCTGCTCACAGTCCCACCGGGGGCCTACCTTTGTCCCACAGTCTCAAAATACCTCCCTGAAAGCAAGGCGTACATTTTCTAGATAGTGCTTCTGAGGCTGGTGTTTTCCTTCTGCCCTTCCAATTCATAGCCATCATCTCTGCTCACCCCTCCCCCATCATTAGCTTCCTTTTTCCACATCTCCCTCTGTAACTGCAGAAGGGGTTGGGGCAGAGGAGGTGGGGAGGGTCTGGTAGGGCTGGCTGAGTGGAGTCGGCCATGTGATGGAAGTGGCCCTCTTGCAGTCGGGCACTGCCACCCCCTCGTGGTCCAAGCTGCACATGAACAGAACCAGGTGCTCAACACCAACAGCCGATACCTGCACGACAACATCGTGGACTATGCGCAGAGGCTGTCGGAGACCCTGCCGGAGCCGCTTTCTGTATTTTATTTCCTGAATTCTGGGTAAGTAGAGGTTAGCGAGCCCCTGGTAAGAACAAGGCCCGAAGAGGAAAGTCACCCATGCTGGGTACAGCATAATGAAGCTGCCTGGGGAGTGGAGAAGGCTTCAAGGAGAGGTTCCTTCTTTCCCGTTAGAGATCCTGGAGCTTTTTCTGAGGGATCTCAGCAAGGGACACCATGGCCCCCCTACCAGGATCACAGGGCTTAATGAGGTGTAATGGGTTTTCTTTCTGCTTCATGGATACAGTCCTCAGGTGGCTCTGAAAGGTACAGAAACATCAAGTGCCTCTACAAAGAAATAAGAAATTACTGAAGGGTCATTTTCTGGAGAAAGAATACAGGGTGTCATGAGGCTTGACCTGATGGTGCCTCCCTGTGGATGCTAAAGGCCATGAAGAGGCAGCTAAGGAACACGGAATGAAGGGGGCTGCCCACTCCACTGGAAGTATCCCTGTACAAAGGCCCGGTGGCATGAAAGTGCCTGAGGCACCAAAAGAGGAAGAGGTGACAATGGAGAAGGACCCAGGATTTTATCAGTCAAGTGAAAAGCTGCTTTTTATCCTAAGATTACTGGAAAGCCTTCAGAGGGTTTTAACTAGGAAGGTGGTGTCATGAGGAGGAAAACAAAAGTGGCTTGTGTTGGGCCCTTGTATCTAGTAGTAGCAACGACAGAATCACATTCCAACATATGGTAGGTAGTGGTATTTGGATTATAGTAATGACCACAGTGACGTTGCCACCCACAAGCTGTATTCTTCAGTCCCCTGAATAATTTATAGGAAGTAGACTTACTGTCTTCATTTTACAGATGAGGCGGCAGTTCAAAGGAAGGGGCCACCTGGTAGTGCTTACCTAGTATGCATAGGGCACTTCAATCTCTAGTACCACAAAATAAAAAGAGAGTAAGTGGGAGGGAAGGAAGGAAAGGAGGGAAGGGGCTGGCTAGGAAATGGAAACACCTAGACTGGGAAGAGCTGGGCACAGGGAGCGGCCCATCCTGTTGGTTCACCCCACCAAGTTCATTCCATGTGGACTCTAGTGACTTCATGTTGCCATATCCTGTGAGTCTGCTCTCTTGCCTGTTTCTCAGCAGGGTTTGACAGAGCTGACACTGTCTCTGAAGACGCCTTTTCCTCTTGCTTCCAGGATACCCTGCTCTGGTGTCTACCAGCTTCTGGGGCCGCTTCTCTAACTCTTTGCTGATTCTTCCTCTGTCCTGTGAGGCAGGTCCTGGGCGAGATTTCCCTCTAAGCCCTCTCCTCTGTGAGCTGGCCTATCTGCTTACTTGTCATCCATGTGAAGGCAGCATAAATCTGTATCAAGCCTCCCACATGTTTATCTTAAGGTTCTGAGTGGCCACTTGACAATCATCTCAAGTTTCACATATCTGAAGACAGTCATGAAATGCCTTCTACCTGCACCTGTTCTGAAATCATGGCACTGGGTCTCCCCAGCACATGCCATGTACACACCATCTCACGTGCATGTGCTCAGGAGCAAAACCACACACACAGTCCTGCCTCCAGGACATCTCTCTGTCCATCCTCATGGCCACCAGCTGCTCTCATCCAGGCAACCTCCAGGGCCTCTACCTGGAATCTTCTCCCTCAGGACTTAGGAAGAAGTCCTAAGGTGTCACTTCCTTGCGGAAGTATCACTGACCCCACTCTCTCAGTTGCCAGGGTAGCCATAATAAAAGACCCCAGACTAAAGGGCTTGAGCAATAGAAATGTATTTTCTCACAGTTCTGGAGGTAGAAGTCCCACATCATAAAGTTGGCAGAGTCAGCTTCCCCTGAGGCCTTGCTCCTGGGCTTGCACATGGCTGCCATCCCACTACCCTCACAGGACTGGCCGTCTGTGTGCACACGTTCCTAGTGTCCCCTTGTGAATCCAGAACTCTTCTCATAAGGACACCAGTCAGATCAGACTGGGGCTTGCCCTGAGGGCCTCCTTTTTACTTACCTCTTTAAAAGCCTCATCTCCAAATGCAGTGGCATATAGACCATTCTACAGTACTGGGATCAAGGCTTCAGTATACTCATTTTAGGGGAACACCATTAGCCTCTAACACCCTCCATTCCATTCCCGCTCCGCAGCACCTGTATCCAGTACTAGTACTTAGAAGAACTATGCCTATGCCTTTGTTTTTTGACTTTCAAGACACAGCAGAGTATGTTTCAGGGAGGACGAGGGCACATCTGTCTTACTGCTTGCTTCCACCCTGGTCCTATCACATGAGCAAGCAATGCCTGACCAATGGTGTCCTGAGAATTCTCCGCCTCTGTGGAAAGCCCTCAGATGGCATTCCAGGTCATACCCACATTTTCTGTCACAGATCAGAAGCCAATGACCTGGCCCTGCGCCTGGCTCGCTGCTACACAGGACACCAGGATGTGGTAGTATTAGACCAGTAAGTGCAACTCACAGCCCTGCCGGTCCAGAACCATGGACCCAAGGGCTTGTTAGAGGTTAGCAAGGCTCCAGCCTTAGTCACCCTTTGGCAGGGAGAAGGACCTTGGCCATTGGAGGTAGCATGGCAGGCAGAAGACTAGGCCCCAGTGACACCTCCCTGGAGGTGTTGTCTTCGGCCTGCCATTCTGTAAAGGCAGCTGCTGGGGAGGGAAGTTTGTGCTACAATGCTGAAATACTCAGACGGTTCCAGCTCTATCTCCCACATTCAGTAGCTAGTTATGCCTGAGACCTGAGAGGTCAAATAACTAGAATTGTGATGTGGCAAGTTGCCTTGCAGAAAGTCACTCTAAGGCCTGTGCTTAATCCCCAGCTCAAAAACTTGGTACTGGGCCAGAAAGATCAGCCTCTTGATATATTGTCTTCAAGGGTGGTAGAGAGTGGTCAAGGCCACTCCAGGGAGTACATGCCACCCCTAAGCCCACCATCCTTCTGTCCCCAGTGCTTATCACGGTCACCTGAGCTCCCTGATCGACATCAGCCCCTACAAGTTCCGGGACCTGGATGGCCAGAAGGAATGGGTCCACGTGGTATGCACTTCCCACATCAGCAACAGGTCGGTGCCCACCCTCAGGCTGGATGACATGGCTCTGTCACCCCCTGCAGGCTCCTCTCCCAGACACCTACCGGGGCCCTTACCAGGAGGACCACCCCAATCCAGCTGAGGCCTATGCCAACGAGGTGAAGCACCTGGTGAGCAGTGCACAGGAGAAGGGCAGGAAGGTAACCACACCCATACCAGTCCAGTGAATGACCCAAGCCTGGTGGTATAGGCATGCCATCCCAGCTAGTCGGGAGGCTGTCTGGGCTGTGTATATCAAGGTCAAGGCCAGCCTGAACAACTTAATGATAACCCTATATGACAATTTTTTAATATAAACAGAGGGATGGGAATATAACTCAGTGGAGGAGTGCTGCCTAGCATGTGTGAAGCCCTGAACTCAATCCTAGTGCTGTGTAAAAGAAAGCAAACTGGGCCCCTGCCCTTGGAGAATTTAATGTGGGAGAGGGATGCAGCTCCATAAATGCCCAGTAGAATTTTAGTGTGGATAGAGGTACATCCTGGGTTATACAGTCCTGTGGTCTACACTGGATGAGCCTGGGTGGTTAAGAGGTTACTATGGGGTTACATGGTAAAAAGTGAGTAGGAGTTAGCCATTCAAGGCAGAGCAGGAAGCAGACGAGCAAGGGCCACCTTAGTGGCCACCTGTGCAAAGGCAAGGACCATGTGAGTGGGACAGGTGGGGCAGGGGGACAGGTGGACAAGCAGGCCTGGAGAAGTAGGCAGGACTCTCATTCCTGGGGGTCCAGTATCATGCTGAGCAGCTGAAACTCTACCGTAGAAAGCCTCAGTAGCAAGGGAGGAAACCTGGGGACTGGGCTGTTCTCTCACTCTGAGTTGTGTGCAGGGTGGATTTCAGTGGGGCAGCCTAGAGACAGGGACCATGAGGAGACCTGCCCAGGGAAGTCTGGAGATTCTGCAGAGAGGCAGACAGGGATCTGGGTTGAAGCATCACCTGGGGCCGCATGAGACAGGCAGAGGTGTCTAGTTAGATGGCATGTGCAGGAGGCCAGTGCAGAAGGCGGCCTGTAGCCAGAGAGAACAAGCAGCACACTGAGAGATGTGACCATGGTGAGGCAGTGGGTGTCAGATGAGGGAGTGGATCAGAACGGCCACATTTTTGTCCCAGGTGGGACGAGAGTAGTGCTGGTCACCAGATAGGGGACAGAGAAGAAAGGGCCTATGGGAAAGAAGGGGATATCCAGGAATGTAGCTGACAAGAGCAAGCTGAGTCCAAGGGCTCATAAAGTGCAAAGGAAGGGGCCTGACCCAGCGGGAGCTCACGGAGCACCTGTCTCATCCACAGATTGCAGCCTTCTTTGCCGAGTCCCTGCCCAGTGTGGGTGGCCAGATCATTCCCCCTGCCGGCTATTTCTCCAGGGTGGCAGAGTGAGTAGATGGGTGGGCTTTGCCCAAGGGAGGGCAGGCTGTAATTGGATTCCCCAGTATCTATTCCAAATCTAACTACAGCCTAGCCTACTTGACAGAACTTTTTGACACAGGCCCTTAAAGAAATAACAGCCCAGAAAAGGCTAGCCATTTTCCCAAGGTAAGGACTCAGCACCCAAAGACTGAAGTCACTTGCCACAGGCCTGTCAGCCATCTGTCCTCCACAGGCACATCCACAGGGCCGGAGGGCTCGTTGTCGCAGATGAGATCCAGGTTGGTTTTGGCCGAGTAGGCAAGCACTTTTGGGCCTTCCAGATGCAGGGGGAAGACTTTGTCCCTGACATTGTCACCATGGGCAAGTCCATCGGCAATGGCCACCCTGTTGCCTGTGTCGCCACCACCCAAGCGGTGTCAAGAGCATTTGAAGCCACTGGTGTGGAATACTTCAACACAGTAAGTAGAGGCTACGGGACAGGGATTGCCAGGACAGCTCCTTGCCCTTGGTCAGTGAAGGCGTCAGGACTGGCACGGTGCCCAGTACAAAGACTTCTAAGACATCATCCTCTAGGAAGCTACATTTAGGTCAGATTGTTTTAAATACTGTAAAAATCTTTAAAAATTAATGTTAGGCGGGCATGGTGGCACACACTTTTAATCCCAGCACTTAGGAGGCAGAGACAGGTGTGTGTATGTGATACATGTGGTCAAATGACAACTTCCAAGAGTCAGTTCTCTCCTCCTACCATGTGAGTTCTGGAGATCTCAGTCCATCAGGCTTGGCAGCAAGCACCTTTACCTGCTGAGCCATCTTGCTGGCCCTACTTGATTATTTATAAACTCTTGGGAAGCTATCACCTCAAATAAAAATTAGGATCTTGACAATAACCCGGGTTTGCCCTTGTATGTACCCATTCCATGCCTCCCTCAGCAATGACCTCCCTCTGAATCCCATGTTACTTATTGTAGCTGTTTTTTATTTGTCTGTTTTTTACTTTAGTTGAGGTTTACCAAGCTGCACGTAACTTGGGGACTTTGTGGGTATTTTTCACCTGATGTCACACTACCAAGACTCATCTGTACCACTTGTCACTCATTTGGTCCTCTCTGCTTTGAGGTTGCTCTTTTGTTTTTGGTGATGATCAGTGCAGCTGTGGAAAACCCTTTCAGGTCTCTCTTCTGTCTGTATGCAGAAGTCTTTCTTGGGAGTGAAAAGATAGGTTACAAATTAACCCAGAAGTGGAACTGCTGGGTCATAGGGTGTGTGTTAGATAATGTTGTCCAAAGTACTTCACAGGCTAACACCATCAGGGCAGTTTTGCTGCTGTTATTTGGGTTGAGTGGTGGTGGTTTGGATTTTTTGAGACAAGGTCTTACTATGTAGCCCTGGCTGGCCTGGTACTTGCTGTGGCTGCCAACTCCTGGCAATCTTCCTGCCTCAGACTAAATGCCAGGATTACAGGTGAGCACTACCATGCTCAGCTTCTCATCAACACCTTTTCATTTTTGCCAGTCAAGTGAGGTATTAAATATAGTTCATACGGTCTTGACTTCAGATTTTGGGAAGCATCTCTTCATGTTTAAGAGAAATTTTATTGATTAAAGGATCTCATACAATGAATTTTGATTATATTCAGACTTCCTCTCCCATCTCCACCCTCACCCCACCCTACCTTCATGCCTTCTATTAGCAAATGAAAAAAAACCCATCCATCCTATCCATCTGAGCTGGGTACTGGAGAAAACGGAGTGTCAGATCTCTAATTCTTACATGGGTGCCAAAGTAAGGGCCCACTTCCTTTCCTTTCCATGGAGTTTGCACCCAGGTTTCTTGAAATGGGATTTTCACTCTTAATTTCTGTTTCTCTTACACACTGCTTAGCAACGTCAAGTAGGGATTTCTCTTTTTTCTCAGCAGTTGGAAAGACTTGGTTTCTTCATCAAAGTTAGCTATTCACAGCCCTTGCATGCAAGTTAGTTACACTTTGGCTGTTTCAGGGCCACACTCAGCGCAATGACCCCAGTGTGGACCAATTCGTTCTCCAACAGGCTCATCCCCCTCAGGGTTTTACTGTGGGTAAAAGCAGCTAGGTCCTCACAGCAGGCAGCAGTTAGCTCACAGGCTCCAATCCAAGATTCTGAGTGGCAGTTGGGAGGTTTCACAGCTTTCTATGACAGCTTTACATCAGTGTCCTCTAGCTTATTTTCTGAAATCTGTAGACTTCCCAGGTTCCTATCGCCGCTGACAGCTGCAGCCAGGTCAGCTGACCAAGGGTGCCACTGGGGTGTGTGGGTAGCCAGGCTAGTGTGGCTCTGCCATATTGGTTCCCGTTATTTTCCTCTTACCAAGTCCTGAGTTCAGAATTTTGAGATCAGTATAGACACCCCTATGGTCAGGCAAATACTCATCTTGTGTGATAAGGTTCCTCACATGGTCCATGACATGCATCCAGTCTCCTGGGAGCTAGCACCCCCCCCCCCCCCCCAGATCTCCCAAGGTCAGCTGCCTGGGGCATGCCTCATTCCACCACCATTCTTTTTTCTCATGGTTTTGTTTTTGGGTTGGTTTGTTTTTGGTTTTTTTGAGCTCCCTGTAGCCCCAGCTGACCTAGAACTATGTAGACCAGGCTGGCCTTGAATTCACAGGGATCCACCTGCCTCTGCCTCCCGAGTACAGGGATTAAAGGCATGCACTACCATGCCCAGCCTCATGTTTTTTTTTTAAAAAAAAAACAAAACACATTTGTGTATATGTGTTTGTCACACACATACCTGGATTCACATGTCATAGCAAGCACATGGAACTCAGGACAGCTTGCAGGAACCAGTTATCTCCTTCCACCATGTAGATCCCAGGACTTGAACTCAGGTTATCAGGCTTGGTGGCAAGTACCTTTACCTACTGAACCATCTTGCCAACCCCCTTCATTCATTGGCCATGTATATTCCTTCTTCTATAAAATGCTGGCTTGTTTCCTTTTCTGTTTTTAAATTACTAGTGCTTGTGGTGGTTTTTGTGATTATGTGTGCTCCACAAGCATAAATATCACACACTACTACACTCTGTCAGTAGTATATGTATTTCATCTAGTTACCTAGTTGATAACTTGCCACCTCCTTTATATGTTTGACAAAATTTTCAGGTTTTCACTCGATCAGGTTTTTTGTTTTTTTTTTTTAGTCTTTCTGAGATAGGGTCTTCCTGTAGCCCCAGCTGGCCTGGCACTCACTATGTAGACCATGCTGGCCTTGATCTTACAGAGATCCTTTGCCTCCCAAGTGCTGGGAATAAAGGTGTGCACCACACCTGGCCCAATTTTTAACATCCATCAACTCTGTTTTTGAGTCTGTTTTTAAATTTGTGGGGGCTGGAGAGATGGCTCAGTAAAAGCACTGGATGCTCTTGCAGAAGACCCACATTTAATTTCCAGCACCCACATGATAGCTAACAATTGTCTGTAACTCCAATGCCAAGGACTCCAACACCATCTTCTGACTGCATGACACAGATGCACTTATATTTTTAAAAAATAACAAAAAAATTTGAGTATGGGAATGCACGTGGGTGTCAGAGGACAATTTTCAGGAGTCTCTCCTTGCCTTCCACCTTGGTGAGACAAGGTCATTCCATTTCTGCAGCTTTGCTGGCTGTGTATAACAGGCCAGCTGGCCCATAGTCTTCCAGGTTATTCTCCTGTCTCTGCCTTACAAGAACTGGGATTAGCCGGGTGTGGTGGTGCACACCTTTAATCCCAGCACCCAGGAGGCAGAGGCAGGTGGATCTCTGTGAGTTCCAAGCCAGCTGGGACTACAGGGAGACCCTGTCCCAAAAAGACCAAAAAACTAAATAAACCACCACAACAAATGTGATTAGATGCATTAGATGCACACCACTGCATCTAGCTCTTTATCTGGGTTCCAGGGATGAAACTCAGGTCACCAGGCTTGTATGACTAGTGCTTTTACCTGCTGAGCCATCTCTCCAGCGCCATTTTATTGACTTTGATTTTGTTCTGTGGGTTTTGGGGTTTTTTTTTTTTTTTGTTTTTTCCTTTTTTGGGGAGAGAGGGACAACAGGATCTCCTTATAGCCCCAACTAGCCTGGAACCCACTATATAGACCAGGCTGACCTTGATCTCACAAGCGATCTACCTGCCTCTGCTTACCAGGTGCTGGGATTAAAGGTGTACACCACCATGTCCAGCCCCAAAAAACTTTTTATATGATCCAATTTGCTTATTTTTGTTTTTGTTGCTTGTATTATAGGGTTAGATTTAATGAGTCACTGCTTAGCCTGGGGAAAAAAAAAATCCTACACAAAAGTATTATACCTCACTGGTCATGGCGGTGGACGCCTTTAGTCCCAGCACTAGGGACAGATGGCAGCCAGCTCAAGGCCAGCCTGGGCTATATATCCAATTCCTGGCCAGTCAGGGTTACACAGTGAGACAATACATTAAAAAAATAAAATAGCCAGGCATGGTGGCACAAGCCTTTAATCCCCACACTTGGGAGGCAGAGGCAGGTGGATCCCTGAGTTTAAGGTCAACCTGGTCTACATAGAATTCCAGGACAGCTGGGGCTACAGGGAGACTCTGTCTCAAAAAGACCAAAAAAAAAAAAAAAAAAAAAAAATTGTGCCTCCAAATAAATAGCTACCCTGTTAGGAGAGGCTCCGGTACAGCTGAACAGTTAAACAGAAAATAAGCATGCTAGTCTACTTTATGGGAATGTTTATGTTCATGTTTAGATTTTTTTTGGGGGGGGGCTCTTTTTGACAGGGTCTCCAGAGCTGGCCTTGAACTCACAGAGATCCACCTGCCTCTGCCTCACAAGTTCTGGGATTAAAGGTATGTGCTACTATGCCCAGCTAAAAAATGATCTTTTCAAGGTGTGTTTTGTTTTCCTGTGGTGCCTGGGGATTGACTCTAGGACCTCCATGTACTGGGCATCCTACCACTGAACCACATGCCCCAGCCCACATTTGTTCACCTGCCTTGGTATTCATATAGGACAACTTGAAGTTGTCTCTCATCTCTCCCCATAGGTCCCAGGAATTTAACCCAGGTTGTTAGGCTTGGCAGGAAGCATCTTAACTCACTGAGCCATCTCACCAGCCCAGCTGCTTCAGTTTCTTTACATTTTAGTTAGTTTGAACTGTAATAACAAAAGCACCATAGGCTGAGTGGCTCAAAAGTAACCAAAATGTATTGAACACAATGCTGGAGACTGGAAATCTAGAATAAGAAAGCCAGACAGGTGGGGTCTGAGGTCCTCTCTGGGTTGCAGATAGCTGGCTTCCCACTATACCCTCATGGTGGAAAGTGCCAGAGCACCCTCGGGGATCCCTTTCATAACGATCTGATCCCATTGGTGAAAGCTCCACCTAGACTCGTTATGTGGTACATGCCTGAAATCCCAACACTCAAGAGGCTGAGGCAGAGTTACGACAGATGGCTCAGAGGTTAAGAGCACTGGCTGCTCTGGCAGAGGACCTAGGTTCAGTTTGCAGCACCCACAACCGTAACTCCAGTCCCAAGGGATCCAAAGCCCTCTTCTGACTTCCATGGGCACTACACAACATGGGTACACTTACATACATACAGGCACACCTTAAATACACATAAAATAATGAAATATCTTAAAGAGCCTGAGGCAGGAGGATCCTTGAATTCAAGGCCAATCTGGGCTAAATAGGAAGGCCGTCTCAAAAAAAAAAAAAAAAATTTCCAAGGCATACTGGTACAAGCCTTTAATCCCAGCACTTGGGAGATAGAAATAGATGGGTCTCCGAGAATGAGGTCTTCCTGGTCTACATAGTTCCTGGCCAGCCACAACTGCATAGTTAAGACCCTGTTTTAAAAATTTAAAAAAAAAAAAAAATCGTTGGGTGTGGTGATGCACGCCTTTAATCCCAGCACTCAGAGGCAGAAGCAAGTGGATCTCTGTGAGTTTAAGGCCAGGTTGGTCTAGTAAGTTCCAGGACAGCTGGGGCTACAGGGAGACCGTCTCAAAAAGACCAAAAATAAATAAATAAATAAATAAATAAAGTAGGTGTGGTGCATACCTTTAATCCCAACACTCAGGAGGCAGAGGCAAGCAAATCTGAGAGATCAAAACCAGCTGGTTGACACAGCAAGCTCCAGACCAACTAGAGCTAGAGGGGAGACCCTGTCACAAGACCACCAAAACAAAAAAAGGAACACATGAGATGGTGAGATGGCGTATCTGAAGATACTTGCTACCAAGCCTGATAACCTGAGAAGGGGCTCTCCACAATTCATGTGGTGGAAGAACTCTTGAAAATTGCCCTGACTAAACACTTGCACTGTGGCACTGGCGCCTCCCCTCCCCACTTATACTTTACCTGAACATATGTAAGTGCACCCATGTGTGCAATGCCTACAGGTCAGAAGACGTAAGATCCTCTGGAACTGGAGTTAAGGATGGGTGTTAGCCACCACTTGGGTGCTGAGAACCAAATCCTGGTCTTCTGCAAGAGCGTCAAGTGCTCTTAACCTTGAGCCATCTCTCCAGCCCCAGGTCCTACTTCTTAATGCCATTACTTTGAGGGTTAAGGTCTCAGCATACCCTTTTTGAGGAGATACAAATAGTCTGTTCTAAATTACTGGACTCAGATTTTTCAAGTATTTTTGTGCCTTTTTCTGAAACTCACATTTGTTTATGTAAGTCTATTTCCACAGGTTTGAGGTTTTTATCCTAGCTTTGAGTGGGGGGGGGTCCCACTGTGTTACTCAGACTTACCCCCAAATTCCTGGTCTCAGGCAGTCTTCTTGCTTCAGCCTCCTGAGTAACTGGCATGCAGAAGTGCGTCCCTGCGCTCAGCCTTTTTCTTTCTGGTCTTCACACTGGGCAGTCTCAAATAAAAGCTTTTATTGCCTGCTCCAATCTGTGGAGCCTCTATGGTGAATTTCTCTTATTAGTTGTTGCTTTTCAACTCAATTTCCTGGTGGGGTTTTTTTGTTTTTCTTTTTTTGAGACGGAGTCTCCCTGTAGCCCCAAAAGATTTGTTCATTTTTACAATCTCGCTTCCTTGATGTTTGGGGAGGCATCGTTTTCCTCCTTTCTTCACGTTTCTCACGGTTGTCATACACATCCTTGGCTTCTCAGCAGCCATCTGTGCTGCTCCCCAGCCTCAGAGTATGGGCCACATGCTGATTTCTTCTTGTGTGTCATGATCTTGTTCCAAAGCTAGACACAACATTATGAACTATGGAAATTGGTCTTCATGGTTGGTTTAGTTCACTTTTTGTGAACTGATTCTGTCAAGTCTGTATTCCTTATCATGCCTGGCCTCTGAACTCTATTCATGGGCAACCTAATGACTGTGAGGTCTCCTTAGTTACCTAGATCCACTAAGTTACTCTTAAATTTTTATTTTGTCTATTATGTTTGTGCTCTTTGTATGTGCACCTTGCATGTGCAGAGACCCAAGGAGGCCAGGAGAGGGCATCAGATCCCCCGTGGCTGGAGTCACAAGCAGCTAAGAAACCCATTGCCTTTACAGAGAGAACTAGGGTGCGGGAGGTAACCTCGCCCTGCATTTCCACCACTGCCACCCCATCACTAATTCTTGCCTCTTACAAAAATGTGATATGCTTCCTAAGCTTTTGGAAATGTATTAAACTTTATAATGCATCCAAATGCATTTATCTTGTCTGAGTCTGAGATTTTATTTTTATCTTCACATCAACTGTTTGCAGGTTTTCTCTCATTTTTCTTCCTGGATTCACAGCTGCTTTACCTACCTTGTATCTCGAGCTTTCTCTAACATCTTACCCATTCTTCCCTGGGGCATTTCTCACCTGGTCTTTAAGTTCATAATTACTCAACTGATCTAGATCTACTCTCCTTCCCATCTTGTTTCAACTGTTGTCTTTCAGGTCTCAGGTTCCACTTGCCTTTTTCATGTTCTGGTTTCGTGTTCACATCCTCCCTTGCATATTTTAGCAAGGGAGGACTCCTAGAATTGAGTCACGTCTTATAGTTCTGATAAAATCTGTTGTCCAGCATGTTGCTTTTCTTCTGTAAATTCTGTCCTTTATATGCCTTGTCCTTGTAAAACCATCCATGGGCTATCCTGCCACTGCCCTCAGGGAAGGCTCAACTAGGGAGCCACTGCATGATGGGAGACAGATGAGGTGAGAAGCTGCATGTCCAGGAAAGCATGTTCAGGCTTACACTTTACTGAGCCTTCAATATTTTTAAGGACCTACCAAGTATTTCATACCTTGCTCCCAATACAGAGAGCCACATTCAGGCACCCTCAGGGCTTACTGGACCAAAAGTGAGCCAAACCACACAGGATGCCCATCGAGTGCAGCCAGATAGAGCACATTTGCTATCAGAAACAACAGGTTTATGACTTTTCTAACACTCATTTCATGACTTAGAGAAATGCCACACAAGCCAAGCAAAAGGAGCCCCCAGTCCAGATGTGGCTTCCACACAGCCTGTCAAAATCCCTGGGCTTGGTACAGCCATGAGCTCACATCATCCAGTGGCTTTTCGGGGGGGGGGGCCTTTTTCAAACAGCGTCTCCCTGTCACCCCAGCTGGCCTGGAACTACGTAAACCAGGCTGGCCTTTAACTCAGATCTGCCTCTGCCTCCCAAGTGCTGGGACTGCAGGAGTGTGTTGCTCTTGATCCACCCACAGATGTGTGGTCCTAAGGCCACTCTTGACAGGAGCTGTAGAACTCCTGCCATACCTCTATGGTACCTCACCTATGCTAAAGACCCAGGAAGGCAGGACAGCTCACAGGAACCCCAGAGATCCCTATTTATGAAGAGGACAGTCCCAAGTAAGGAAGCTCAGGGCCTGTCGTCTTGCCACTGCCTGTGTGGCAATTCCATGTGGACCCCAGTCCATTCAGCCAGGCACTTGACATCACTCTTTATCCCCTGGCTCAGTTTGGTGGAAATCCTGTGTCCTGTGCTGTGGGACTGGCAGTCCTGGATGTCTTGGAAAAGGAGCAGCTCCAGGCTCATGCAGCCAGTGTGGGCAACTTCCTGATGGAACTCCTCAGCCAACAGAAAGCCAAACATCCCATCGTTGGAGATGTCAGGTAAGGATCTGGGGACAATCAATAGACACCACTAACACCTGCTGAGAACCCAGCGTGGTGCCATTTTCTTCTTTTACCTCTTACCCTGGGATGCTAATTTCTATGTCCACTCTCCAAAGGAGGAAACATAAAGGCACACCCAAACTTTCTTCTGTCCACACTCAGTACCTTACTCCCAAAACTTATCTCCACCCTCCTCCAAGGGTTCCTGGCTGTCCAGCCTCCCAAGAGGCACAGGGAAAGGTTCAGGGAGCTCCAAAGAGGGTTAAGGACCATGGTTCAAGGACAGACCTTTTAATATCACCTCCTCCAGGGGTACTGGGCTCTTCATTGGTGTGGACCTGATCAAAGATGAGGCCATGAGGACACCAGCAACACAGGAGACTGAATACGTGGTATCCAGGTATTTTTTTTTTTTCTTGAAACAAACTAAGTACTAAGATACCTCTGTACAGCCTAGGGCAATGAGCTGGAGGGAACCTAAGCCCACAGCCTTGGATGAAGGGCTTCATCAGCAGAAAACCTGGCTGCCCATTCTGTGCCCCATATTCTATGGTAGTCTTCTCCAGCGGACAATTCCAGTCAGACACTCAGAACCCAGTAGCCCTAATGTAGGGATCCAACTCCCCATTGGCAGGCTGTTGGGTAGAGGACTCCTGCATCCTCTTCTGGGTAGGGAATTATCTAGATTAATAAGTGCACCTCATTGACATGACTTTCCACTTGAACCCCAGGCAAGACCAGGCGCCTCAGGACTTTACCCTTCCACTCATTCCATTCTTTCCATTTGTCCCAATCTTAGGCCTTCTCCCACCACACCGAGTATGCCATGCCTTCATTTGCTGTGAATGTGTCACCTTGCTCATTGGAATGCACTTGTTAACCTACTCAATACTGATTTAAAATTTGCTCTCCCAATTTATATCGCTACCTCCACTCTAGGAGCCTCAGACTGAATTCTCAAGTGGTGTGGAAGCCAGATACCAAATCCTTCTATCTTTTACCTCAGACCTTAGCCCAGCCTTCCAATTCTCAATGAAAATGGAACTTTTGGGGGGGGGGACCTCTGTTGAGGCAAGATTCAACCTAAGATTTTAAAATTTTAAAAATAGTAAAGAATGTAACACCTTTAACCCCAGCACCTCTGAGGATGGGCAGACAACTCCCTTGAGTTTGAAGCCAGTTGAGACTTAACAAATTTGTCTTTGAGTGTTTTGCCTGCCTCTGCCTAGTGTGCTGTACCACCATGCCCAGCTTAAAATGTTTTACAAAACAATGCTGGGTAGTCAAAATGCATTCGTTTCACTCCACTCTCTGCAGCAATTATCGGACTAGGTAGTGTTAATGTGGAGCTGGGCATGGCAGCACAACTATCAGTATTAAGGCAGAAGGATGGCCAAGAACAGCCTCAGCAACATTAGCAAAATCTGCTCAAAATGAGATAGTAAAGCCCATAGACTGAAGGCTCTGCACAAGGTACACCATGAGTGGTCCGTAACCACTTAATTGGCCAGAAGACACGGAATATCAATAGGTGCTTTTCAAGGCCATCTTCAGCTACATAATTAGGAGGCCAGCCTGAACTACATGACACCATTTCCAAAATAAAAAGACCAGAGGACACATATGACTGACCAGAGTGTCCTTATGGGAACTGGCCTCTTGAGGACAGCATAGCTAGAGTTAAATACAAGGCTACTACCATCAGACTATAAGACTTTAAAAAAGCTGCTGGGCGTGGTGGTGCATGCCTTTAATGCCACCACTTGGGAGGTAGAGGCAGGCAGATCTGAGTTCAAGGCCAGCCTGGTCTATGTAGTGAGTTCCAGGACAGCTGGGGCTACCCTGTCTCAAAAAGAGAAAGACAAAGTGCCCTGTCCTTACAGGCTTAAGGATAAGCACATTCTGCTGAGCGCTGATGGCCCTGGGAGGAACGTCCTGAAGTTTAAGCCCCCAATGTGCTTTAGCCTGGACAACGCACAGTATGTGGTAGCAGTGCTGGATGACATACTAACAGGTATGCTTGGATGTGGCTCAGTGGTCAAACTCCCTGGCACATAAGGAACTGGGTTCAACCCTCAGGTCTCTACCACAAAACTAGTAACCTAAAGTGTCTTCTAGGTAGTTCAGAAAGCTCTGGTGAACAGTAGACTTTGTTGAGCAGGAACCAAGCCACTACCCAACATATGCATTTGACAGGTACCAAAGTGGAATGCAGGGCTAGACACCTTACAACTAGTGGGTTTGGGCATGACAGCAAACATTTACTTGGGCTGAGATAGGTGGATCATGTGTTCAAGATGATCCAGGGTTATGCTTCAATCCCCATTCTTTGAAATAGGAATGGGGATATAGTTACCCTTAGAATGTTGGCAACAGGACCTTTGTTCCATCTTTAAGCTAGGGTCATCTTCAGTTGCTAAGTAGCTAAAGTGAGGGTTTTTCCCAGAAATTAACAGTGCAGTGAAATTCTCCCCACATCCCCAACCCACTCAGGCCAACATCTGCCCAAACTCTAAAAAAAATTTCTACCAAACTGGACTATGACTAAACCATTTGTCTCAAGGTGTAGGGGTCAGAGTACCACCAAGGAAACCCTTCCGCTCCTACCTCCTTCTAGGTGACTTGAAGAGGGTTTTAATGGTGTAAAGCATGGGGTAAAAAAGGGTGTAAGACATGGATCTGGATGATACAACTGACATCCAAGCAGACTGGGCACTGACGGCACCTGAGAAGTGTGGACCAAGTAGAGCGGTTGTGTGGTCTTTTTTCAGATATGGAAGAAAAATTGAGAAGTTGTGAGACACTGAGGATCCAGCCCTGAGACAGCCCAGGTAAGCATCCTCCAAACAAGCAGGCCTTGCTTTGTATCTTACCATCAGCAGTTGAGCCTTTTAAAAGTATTCTGAGTGATGATGACCCCACATACATGCCACTGGTTGTTTTTGTCAAAATGGGTTACCCCTGGGTGCTGTCACCCCACCTCCACCAGGCAATCTCCAATACATTTCCACTCAAGCCATCCATTAAGTACAAAACTTAAGAATGTTCTAGAAATCGGAGGCTATGGGTGCAAAGTGGTAGCTCAAAAAAGGTCAGGTGGGTTAACAGCTCTAAGGACCCTGCTGTGGGAGGCCCTCGTTTCAGAGCACCTGGCACCTCCAACACTGGGCAAGGTCTCACAGAGCACATCCCACACTCACCCAGGCTTGGGGGTTTTTTAAATTTTATTTCAAAAGCTTGGATAGCTTCAATATCCAGGTCGTGGCAAAATCAGGACACGTGTAAAATACCTTACAATACATTAGATTCCCAAAAGGTACCAAAAAGTACAGTAAAATTAACACTTCCATCACAGGAAATGTATGACACAAATAATATAAAATTAAAAGGTGAAAAAAGGTGACACTGGTTTCCTAAGATACAGTTTTACTCTTTACAACCAGGGTCCACAGGTCCAGGCTGCAGAGTGGCAGCAGGAAGCAGACCCTCCAATCTGGTACTGGGTAACCTGGTAATAAAATCAGCCCCCTAATGCCACTCTCGCCTCTGAGACACCACACGCTGCCTAAAACAACTAGAGCTCTGGAAATAGTAAACAGGAGAGTGATTTCCAGGGGGGGAAATTTTAAATAAGATGCACATGGGACAGGCCATAGAAAGTTTGCCAAGTTAAATTTGGTACATAATTGTGTTCACTCCGTATCCAAACAAAGCGTGTGCGGTCGTCAGTTGGCCGCTCCTGCTGCCGTCTCAGTATGGCTTGTAGTTATTCTGATGGCCACCGCGTCGCTGGCTCTTCCCGTAATTTGTACTACCCTGACCTAGGGACAAGAACAACGTAGCAGCTACTACTTACTGAACATTCACCCCGTGCCAGGCGCTTGACACGCATCCTCAGGACTTTACAACTCTGCATAGTAGGGATCGGCTTCTCCACACCTTACTGAGGATCCTGAGCTGGAGCTCCAAATCAGCTCCAGTGCCTGAGCCAGACCTGTCTGACTCCAAAGCCCCTGCTGCCATCGGCCCCTACACTATCTGACCTGCCTCCCCTAGGAGGAAGTAGATGGGGCCTCCCTCTCCTACTTACTGTAGTCGTAGCCGGGGCCGTAGCCGTAATAGCCATAAGGCGAGTAGTCGTAGCCGCCATAGCCGGGCCCGTAGCCCTGCTGGTAGCCGTAGCCCTGGTTCCAGTAGTTGCCGTAGCCCTGATTCCAACTCTGACTCTGACCTGTGGGGGGAGCAGGGCACAGGGGCCCATGACCATTTAGCACACGCAGGAGCTAGGATGGAGGATATCCTGCCCTTTGGGTGGCGGGGTTACTATGGCAACTCAGGCAGAAGCCAAGAGGCTACAGTTCTGGCATAGAGGGCCCTTGGCCCAGCCCTGAAATCAGGAGGCCAGGATGCTAACTTCACTTGGAATTCAGGTAGCTCATTTGCTCACATCACCCTCTGATCACCTCCACCCTCCTCCTCCCTTGGCAGCTTTGCCTTGAAAATGATGCAGTTCAGGCTTTGGAGTCAGAGGGGCCTGGGATGGAAACAGCTAAGCGCCTGGCACAGCTCTGCCTTTCTAAAAGCCCGCGGGTAATGTGTACCAAGACTCAGGACAGCCACAGAGCCAAGCATAATCCACCATGCCCCCTGCCCCACCCCCATTCCCCAGTGCAACGCAAATGCCACCCCTGCCCTGGGACCCCAAGCTGCATGAGTAAGAAAAGACAGGGCTCTTCCATTCCACAGCAGCACAAGCACACAGCCTCCACCCAGGAAAACCATTCCTATCCTTTGCCCTGACCCCACTTCACACTGTCTGCCTATCCCGGCTGCACAAAACACCAGAGGCAATGCAATCCCAGACAGGCACAGGAAGCTTCTTGCAGGCAGGGAAAATCTTCATCCAGCTTCCACTTACCTCCACCTCCACCACTGCCTCGGTTCCCTCGGTTGCGATTTCCACGGCCCCCAGAGCCATACTGCTGTTGCTGATACACCTCTTTGGGCTGGGCAACCTTGATTTCACACTAAAACCAAGAGGACAGTGGGTCAAGTCCTGTGGGACGAGCTCAGGTCTGGGATGGTTGCAAAGACCTTTACTGCAACAAAGGTTCAGATGGCACATCAAGTCATCTGCTTGAAAACATGGTGGGTAGGAGGCTACTTTTGGTCTAGAAATTCCTAGAACCACAGCTAAAACCAGTAAGTCTAGAGACAGCTCCATGTCTAACAGGACAGCTGGAGGAACTAGCCATACTGGGCATGGTCTGTATTCTTACAAGGGGCCTCAGGCACTAAGTTTTACTTTTTTTCTTTTACAGAAGATACTCATCCTACTTAAATACTAACAGAACCCAGACTTCCACCTAACAGATAAAAGTACGCCTCTGAGGCCAAACTGCCTGCCACCCCCACCCCTGGTCAGTCCATTGTTGTGATGTCTGAATCTCAGCAGGAACTGCAGTGAGATTTACTGGGGGTGGGGTGCTTCTACCTATAAATAAATATTAATGGTTTGCTTAAGAATAGTTCTGACACCCATTAAAAACAGCAAAAAAGAACTGGGTATGGTTGTGTAAGACTTTAGGAGTTCAAGACTAGCCTCATCTACATAGTGAGATGTTGCCTCAAAAATTTTGAGCAGGCCAAAGTGCCCCACACAGACACCTTGGTATTATACTGAACAGGAGGCTGGAGAATGGCTCAGCTAGGTTAAAAGCACTGGCTGCTCCTCTTGCAGAGGACTCTGGTTAGGTTCCCAGAACCCACATGGTGCCTAACAACCATCTAAAATTCTAGTTCCATGGGATCCAATGCCCTCTCTTCTGGCTTCCGTGGGCATCACAGGACACAGTACACTTAGGTTCATACAGACAATACACTCATACACATAAATACTGAATATGCCCATCTAAATACATTTACTTCTAAGACCCACCAGCAGCACTTTCACTAAAATACTGCCAGAGGCTTGAGGCTCTTCCTATCCCTTCACATTAGTGCATACCAAAAAGGCCCCCATAGTCCACTGGATTAACTGACTACCTCACCCAACTGCCTGCTTTAATCTCCACCCAAGCTTTCTAAACTCGCAGTGAGGAAGGTAGGGAACCTTCTTGGAGCCCCACCCTACCTGTCACCTTATCTGGTGGCCACTCCTGCTCCACACAGAGCCTGCTACACCCTGCCACACACAGCAAGCCACACCTTCAACGGCCCTAAAGCACCAACCTGACAATCTAAACTAGTTGAAGTATGAAGCACTCCACTACACAGGACTACATGAGAGCTGCCCAGGAGCCTGCCTGCAGCAGGGTTAGCTACCCAGAAGGTGCATGGGAACAGAGGTAGCAGAGAAAAGGGAAGTAGAAAAGATCTAGAGCAGATTTTTTTAAAAAATCATCAACTGAGGGAAACTTGTTACATATCTTCGAACTCCTCATTTTAAATCAGGAATCAAAGCTGGTCAGTATGTTCCATTCATAGAAGCCTTCCTCACAACCAATTTTCACTGCTAGTCCCTACCAGCCCAGCAGCTCTTTGAAAGAGAAGACTACCTGTCCCAATCAGCATGATATATTGTAGACAAATAGTAAGGTCTTACTAACCTGGAGAGATCATGGAGGTAAGCCCAAACTAATCCATATCTCCCAAGAGCCAGTTATCCAAAACCAGGCCAGAGCTGTGGTGCCTTACCTTGCTTCCACTGACAGTATGAAATTTTTTCTCCAAAACCTTCTTCACAGGTTCTTCTTCTTTAAATGTAATAAAAACAAAACCCCGTCTTTTGTTCAACTTAGGATCCATTGGCAGCTCAATGGCCTCAATCTGTAAAAACATAGCAAGCAGAGTTCAAGTCCAACCCCCTGGTAGCCCAGAACACATAGGTAACTTATAAGATTCTGAGAAACAATGACAAGTGAGAAAGTCCTAGGACAAGGCCACTAAGGACCAGGAAGAAAACAGCTAGCAGGCCACTCACCTCCCCAAACTCCCGAAAGTACTCTCTGATCTTTTCCTCTGTGGCTTCAGGGTTCAGACCCCCAACAAAGATTTTCTTCACAGGATCCTTCTTCATAGCCATAGCCTTTTTAGGGTCAATGACACGGCCATCCAGTCTATGTTCCTTCTGATCTAAGACCTGTGACAGAAAGGTGTCAGGTTTTAACCAAGACTGCAGCAGTAGCACACAAAACTCATTTCATTCCTCTGGAACTATTCCAAGTGGACACCCCAACCTGGTGTTCTCCAAACCTGTAGTACAGACAGAAAACCACCTAAAAAATACCTATAAACCAGTCTTCACCCAGAGCCTTTGCTGGTGCTCAACAACCTCTTTCTACCAGTAGTTTCAGCTTCAAGCTCACCTCTTTCCAATACAGCAGTGACTAGGATCACAGGGTGAAGATAATCTACTACAGTTTAAATGCTGACTCCACCCCTGCAACCACATGAACTCTTCCACAAATGTGAGGATTAGGAATGGGGGTCCAGCCTCATTAAAATGAGGCTAAATGTCTATCCTCATAATTTTGGCCTTTTTCTAATCCCCATAATAATGTACTTACTTCACTGTACCCATGAATAGGCACATACTAAAGGAAATAAGGGCCACAGGTTACTGCTCAGCCTCTGCCCTACATAAGCAGGGCTCTCAAACTTTTTTTTTTTTTTTAAGAGGAAAAGGCTGGGAGCTGGGCAAAATAACACATGCCTTTAATCCCAGTACTCAGGAGGCAGAGGCAGGTGGATCCGAGTTCAAGGCCAGCCTGGTCTACAGTTAAGTTCCACGCCAGCTGGGGCTACAGGGAGACCCCATCTCAAAAAAAGACCAAAACAAAAATAGGTGAGCATGATGGCACATGCCTTTAATCCTAGTGCTGAGAAACAGAGGCTGAAATATCTTTAGAGACCAAGACCAGCCGGGTCTGCATAGTGAGTTCCAGAACAGCCAGGACTATAAAGTGAGACCTTGTCTCAAAAACAAAAAAAACCAAAAATGAGTAATCCTCCAGTCACTCCAGCACATACACTGCAACTTAATCCGCACTATACCCCCTGAAACAGGAATCTAAGCTCCTAACCTCTACTTGTCCCAAATCATCTAACCACTGCAGCAATAGGAGCTAAAACCCTAACAGGGCTTCTAAGTGTCCAGCTTACCTTCTCCACACTGGCAGAATCTTTGAAGAGGATAAACCCAAACCCTCTTGACCTTCCAGTGTTGGGATCCATTTTTATTGTACAGTCAACGACCTCTCCAAACTTAGTAAAATAATCCTTTAAATCTTTCTTGCTGGTATCCCAGCTCAGACCACCAACGAACATTTTTCTGAAATGGCAGGGTGAGACACATGGCATCAGTCTTGGATGCAAGCTGTGATTTCTTTTAGGAAGGCCTGGGTCTGGCTAGCTTTCCAACGAGAAGGCTTAAAAAGCCACTATCCTGCGGGCCAGGTCTACACAGCCACTCTTCTCAGTCTACAAGGGTACTTTCATGTTATTCTGCCTCCGCTCTCCAGTCAATTCAACCCGGACCTAACGAGCTTAACGAGATGGGATAGCCACAGGCTGTGATCAAGGACAATCCGGCCAGAAGACCCCTGACCACTCACAAGTAGAAGCTGCGTCCTCCACTCCCCAATCTAAGACCTCGTTCTTGTCCCGTCTACACCGTGAACCCGACTCAAGGAACTGCGGGTTTTCCTGGGGCCTAGCCCGCCCCGGGGTTCAGACGAAACTCCGCCCCTCGACCCGAGGCAGGCCAGGCCCGGCCCGGCCCGCCGCGCGCCAACTCCGCCCACGCACGGCCCTCCGCACCGCCCGATCCGAGGTCGCGGCGCCTTCCCCTCTTCCGGGGCCGCCGGCCCAAGGCCGGGCTTCAGCCCGCTACCGCGGGAGCGGCTCTGGGGTGGCCCATCCCGAGTCCCCCTCAACCAACTCCTACCAGTCCCGGCCAAGGGGCCGCGCGGGGGCCGCTCCAAAGCCCGCTCGGCCGCCCCTCCCCCCGCCGCGTGGCGCCAACAAAAGGCGGCCCCGGAACAAAGGCGGCGCCCCCGCCCGCGGCCGCACCTACCCCGCGTCCTCCTCGTTCTTGCTGGCGTTGATCTGGTCGCCCTCCGCGCCGTTCTGGTTCCCGCTCGGGGCCGCCGCGGTCCCGCCCCCAGACGCCGCAGCGGCCGGCGCCGCCGCGGTCCCCGCGCTGGCCTCGGCCGGGGCCTCGCTTTCAGGGGCGGCCTCGTGCCCGTTCTCAGTGGCGCCCGTTGTCTCCATGGGCTGCTCCTCACCCGCTTCCGACATGGTAGGCCCGGCCGCCGCGGCTCCTACTACGAGCGATAACAGCGCGTCAGGCCCGCACGGTTCACCCCCGAACGCCCGCCCACCGCCCGCGGCCCAGCCGCTCACCTCGCCGCCGATGACGCCGCGAGGCCCGCTAGGCCTTTCCTCGCCTGATTGGCACCGCGGGCTCGGCCGCGCTCAACCTCGCGCCGCCGCGGCCTGTACTCCGTCCACCGACGGAGCCGCTCCCGCTACGTTTCCGCCTCGGCCGCCGCCGCACGGGACTCACCGACCCAAAGCTCCGCTCCGGCCCGCGCGGTACCTCCGTCTGACAATGCCAACTCGTGGCGCTCTTTATAATGCCGGAGCCGGAGCCACCTCGCAACAAGGAGCGCGCTCATTGGATGACGCGGCCCGCCACTCACCATTGTCCTGACTTCTGATTAGTGGCAGCGGCGCGCGCGCTCTAGATCCGGGAACCGGGCGGGCTTTGTCCTCGTTTTGGAACGCGCGCGAGTTGGGGAACCGCGGACGGTTCCGGTCATCAGCGGGCGGGCCTATCGAGCGTGCTGAGTGACCGGCCGGCAGGGTTCGGAGGCTCCACCGCTCAGCGGCTTTCTTGTTCGGTGCGGCCGGCCAGTACCGTTGTCGTTGCACACCCCTTCCCACCAACCTCGGCTCCTCCCTGTCTCCCAAAAGAGAACGAGCGGGAGGAAGTCCCCCCACAGTCGTCCAAGGTCGCCCCCACAGTGCCGGAAACCTGGCTTCCAAGATGTGGGGTGTTGGGGTCATCCAAGGACTGCAGCGCGGCCTGGCATGATCAGGACGGGACCCCCTTCCCCTATCGGCGTTAGTGTCCTGAAATGCGCAAGTTCCTGCCCAATCCCTCCACACTGGAGGCATTTGGGATCCTGGGATCTGGCGCCATGAACGTTGAACCATAGTGTTCCCCCAACTCTGCTTAGCACCACTTGCCACTTAACATCGCATTTATACTTGTGCATACTTAAGATTTTCCTTTCAATTCTTTTGTTTATGCGGTTTGGTTTTTTGAAATTCTGAGACACACACACTCACACAGCGTGCCCCCCCCCCACCTCCCCAGTGTTGAGATTATAAGCCTGCAAACCCATCTCTGGCTTAACTTCATTTAAGGTGACTATTGGGGGGGGGGGCACACTGGAGAGATGATTCAGCGATTAAGAGCACCTCTACTCTTACAAAGGACCCCAATTAGATACCCAGCAGCCAGCACTCAAAACCTCTGTAAC